CTGGAGCAAAGGTCCCTTTTGTTACAGCTTAGCAAAGAACTTGACTGCCTTATGTCTCTGCCCTAGGGATCTGTGGAACTTTAAACTTAAGAGTCATCATTTAGGGTATGTGGTGGAAGAAATTTCTAAGCAGGAAAGCATTCAAAAGGTGGCATGGCTGCTTCTAATAACCTATACTCATTCATGGGATCAAAGGAATGACTTAAAGTTGGAACTTATATTTGAAAGGGAAGCAGAGCATAAAAGTTTGGAAAATTCACAGTTTGGCCATGTGGCAAAGAATGAAGTTTTTTCAGGAGATGAATTCAAGCAGACTGTGGAGCAATCACTTGCTAGAGAGATTTGCATAACTAAAAAGGAGCCAAGTGCTGATAGCCAAGAAAATGAGAAAAAGCCTGCAAAAGCAATTAAGAGATCTAAGAGGCATCCCCTCTCATCACAGGCCTGGAGACCTAGGAAGAAATAATTGTTTTGAGGGCCAGGCCAAGGACCTCACTGTCCTGAACAGCCTCAGGACACTGCTCCCCATATCCTAGACATGTCAGATCCATCTGTGACTCCAAGGCCCCAGGTACAGCTCGAGTTGCCACTTTGGAGAATGCAAGCCATATACCTTGCTGGATTCCAAATAATATGAGCCTGAAGGTGTACAGAGTGCAAGAGTGATGAATTTTTAGCAATCTTGGTCTAGATTTCAGAGAATGTATGGAAAAGCCTGAGTGTCCAGGCAGAAGCCTCTTGAAGGGGCAGAGCCCTTACAGAGAACCTCCACTAGGGCAGTGTAGAAGGGAAAATATGGGTTTGGAGTTGCCACATAGAATTGCCCCTGGGACACTGCCTGGTGGAACTTTGGGAAAAGGCCCACCATCTAATTGAGAATGATGGATCCCCCAGCAGCTTGCCCCCTGCTTCAGGAAAAGCAGCAGGCACTCAACTCCAGCCTGTGACAGTAGCTTCAGTGGCTGCACCCTGCAAAGCCACAGAGGTGAAGCTGTCCAAGGCCTTGGGAGCCCACCCCAGACAAGGTAATTTATTTTTTAAAAAATTATCAGTTCCGGAGGCTGGGGAGTTCAATACAAAGATGCCAACATCTTGCATGAACCTTCTTGCTGTATCATCCTATGGTGGAAGGCAAGAAGGTAAGAGAGGGCAAGAGTGCAAAAAAGGGTCCAACTCACTTTTATAACAAACCCACTCTCATGATAATGATGATAATGACATTAATCTATTCATCTCTCATCACCTAATCACCTCTTTTAAATACATACATTTAGTATATATATATTTAGTATATTTGCATTTAGTATATGTAGAGAAAGAATGAAACAGAGAGAGACACAATCATATTCTGTTGCCCAATCTAGAGGTCAGTGGCATTATCATAGCTCACTGTAACCTTGAACTCTTAGACTCAAGAGATCTTTCTGCCTCATTGGGTCTCACATCTCAACATTGTTGCAATCTCAAAATTGAAAATTTAGTTTCTAACACATGATATTTGAGGGACAAATTCGAATCATACCATAAGGTCTTATGGTGATTTTATCTTTACTGTTTGGAGAACATCCAGATTTCTTTCTACAGAAACTAAAGCTTCTTACATTTCTCTAAGCAATGTACGACAGCTTTAGTCTCTTCACATTCTCTCCAAATTTTGTTATTTTCATTAAAAATTCATTACTGTTATCTTAAAAGGCATGAAGTTACCTCATTGTGATTTGATTTGCATTTTTCAAATGACTAATTATGATGGCATCTTTTCATGTGCCTGTTAGTCCTTTGTACAGATAGTCCCCAACTTTCAATGGTTTGATTTCTGATTTTTTGAGTTTACACTGGTACAAAAGTGATATGCATGTAGTAAAAACTGTGCTTCAAGTATCATACAACCATTCAATTTTCCCTTTCAGTACAGTATTCAATAAACCACCTTAGATATTTAAAACTTTATTATAAAATAGGCTTTGTGTTAAATGATTTTGTGCAACTATATGTTAATGTAAAAGTTTTAAGTACATTTAAGGTAGGCTAGGCTCAACTGTGATGTTTGGTATATTAAATGCATTTTGACTTATGATATTTTCAATTTACAATGTATTTATTGGCCATTATCCCATCATAAGTTGACAAAAATCTAAATATCTCTTTGAATAAAAACAGTTCTTTTCAATTTCAATACCTTTGCCCATTTTTAATTTGGTTGTATGTCTTTTTGCTGTTGAGTTGTACAAGGTCTTTATGTGTTCTGGATGTTAAACCGTTATCAGACATATGACTACAAATATTTACTTCCATTCTGTGAGGTGCCTTTTACTTTCTTGATAATGTCTTTTGATGTACAAACGTTTTACATTTTGGTTAAGTCCAACTTATCTATTTCATATTTTGGTATCATATTTAAGAATTTATTGCCAAATTTAAGGTAATGAAAATTTACCTCTATTTTTCTTCTAAGAGTTTCATGGTTTTAGCTCTTCTGTGTAGCTTGTTGCTCCATTTTTATATGATTTGAGCTCGTTGTCCAATTTCATTATTTTGCAGGTGTATATTCAATCGTTCTAGTACCATTTGCTGAAGAGACTATTATTTACCTGATCGTATAATCTTGGTGCCCTTGTTAAAAATTATTTGGCTATAAATATCTGGGTTTCTTTCTGGTCTGCTAATTTTGTTTCACTGGTTAGGCCCATACGTTTGTCCTAAAGCCAGGACCACACTGTTTTGATTGCTGTAGTTTTGTAGTAAGTTTTGAAATTGGGAAGTATGACTCTTCCAACTTTACTCTTTGTTTTTAAATTTTTGTTTGGTCTATTCAGTACTACTTGAAATCTTATATGATTTGAGGATTGTATTTTTCAATTCTAAAAAAAAGAACATTGTAATTTTCATGGGGATTTCATTGAATCTGTAGATTGTTTTGGGTAGTTTTAACATTTTAATATGAAGTATTTGAATATATAAGTACAAAGTGTCTTTCTATTTATATTTTCTTTAATTAATGCCTGCAGTTATTGTACTGTTCATTTTGTAATTTTTATTGTACAAGTATTTTACCTCCTCAGTTGAATTATTCTTAAGTATTTTATTATTTTGAGTGCTATTATAAATATAATTGTTTAGTTAAATTCCTTTTCAGATAGTTCATTGCTGCTGTATAGAAATATAACTGATTTTAGCATATTGATCTTAAATCTTGCAACTTTGCTGAATTTAGTTGGTCTAGTAGTTTATGTGTGTGTGTATGTGTGTGTTCTTTGTGATTTCCTATATATAGAATCCTGGTATCTGGGAATAGAGAAAGTTTTACTTCTTCCTTTCCAATTTGGAAACATTTTATTTCTTTATGTTGTCTAATTTCTCTGATGAGAATGTTCAGTACAATTTTGAGTAGCAGTGGTGAAATGGGAGTCATTATCTTGCCGACCTCAGTGAAAAATCTTTCCCTCTTTCACCATTGAAAATGATGCTAACTATGGGTTTTTCATAATGCACTGTGTTATACTGAGAAAGTTTCTTCACTTTCTACATTTTTAAATGGTTGAAAAACAGTCAAAATAATATTTTGTGACATATGAACCTTATATGAAATAAAAAGTTCAATGTTCATACTACGTTTTTATTAGAACCTAGCCATGCTCATTCTTTTTCACAATGTATAAGGCCCCTCAGAGTTAAGTAGTTGTGACAGAGATGATATGGCCCACAAAACCAAAAATATTTGTTAACTTTCCTGGAAAATGTTTGCCAGCTCCTCGTCCAGCCTTTCCAGACCATAAGCTCTATGAAGGCAGGTACTTCTTCTTTTATTTAAACACTGAATCTCTGATACATCATACTTTTTACTGTCTAGTAAATAATACACACTTAATAAGGATTGTTTGAATTAATTGAATCATTCTAAAATCAATGAATCTGGGAAATCTTTAATTTTCTATTACCTACTAGTTCCTACTAGTTCCTATATGGAACTTAAATAAGCAGAAGAAAACAACAAATAATTAAAAAAAAATAGACATTTTATTGAATCAGCACCAGAGTTTAAGGTATAAAGAGGACCGGCATTACATGTATAAATGAAATTATATTTGTGCATGTGTATCTGTGTTTAAAGAGATACACTCATATACACTGTGCTTGGTACACAAGTAAGAATTTGATTTTTAGTTGATTTTCCTTCTTGGAGTTAAAATAACGAAAAACTCTAGCATGCTCTATATCATATCGAGTGGTATTATATATTTTGATTCATATTTTTATGTAAAATTATCATAATCATGTCTGTTATAGGACTTTTGTGACTATTCCTTGAATAGCAAATATATAGCACCTAGCACAAAGCCTGGACAGAATAATATTGGAAAAGAAACAAAACTATGGATTCAGAATTTAAACATCACTTTGCCGATTTTACTAAATTTCTGAATGCAGGAATGAACAACTTTATATTGTAGATGGATATAACTTAAGATTCTGTCTCATGGATCATTTATCTCATGTCATTCAGGGTAGTGGGACATATTATAATTCTTTGAGGACAGGGGAATCATGTGATACTATAAAGAGACAATGTTCCAATACCAAAGAGGGAGAAAGTTTCTGGCCATCCAACTAAGGGTGACCTTGTAATAATGAGTTAGAAACCTCAGTCTTTTGTAAAGGGTAGTATTAGCATGCCTGAGTCACTCTGTTTGTTCAGTACAACATGGAAATATTAGCTTGCCTCTATTTCTTTCAAAGATATGAAATCAGAATCAAATACCTGTGACCATTATTATTGTCAAAAATAACAAACATGTCAGACCCTATGTTAGAGATTGTGAAGTGATAGGAAAGACCGAGAAGGAAGAGAAAGACTGATGACTAGAGGCAGTTGACAGAGCATGATCGTTTGTGTGTGGTGGAGGGTGGTAGGGTACGCTTCCTCTCTCTGCCTCCACGTGGAGCTCAACATTCTTACACAGATAATGCTGGAAATCATGACTTTGTCTTTTCTCTTCCAGATGTCATGCCCCACAGATGTCTGGAAATGGGAATTTGCACCTCAACTTTTTATATTGAGAGACTTTTTAATCCTGCCTGGGCATGATACCTGAGTGTCTCCTGGTCCGTTCGGGACACATCTCTGCTTTATCAGTACAGTGTGGCCAATTACTTATGACAGTGGCCCCAAGCTGCTGAGCTGCGTTCTGAAGATCAATGCCAGGCACTGTTAGAACATTTACCAGTCCATAGCAAAATTAGAAAAGGTAGAAATAACATAAATTATGTTCTATGTAAAGCTAAATGCCTTTGATTTAAAGATAGCCCTGTAACATGAAGTTATTTTCTCAGTATTAAAATGTCCCTTTTGTTCACATCACAGAGGCAAAATAAAAAGTTGTCAAGACTCTGTGAGCACATATCCTCTCTTCTTTGCTTGCCTTCTTCTCTTAACATTCTGCTGGTCTGTAAAATAATTATTCTGGGAAAAAACGATTTAGACATAAGCTACCTTTGGCTGAAGTGGTCATAGTAGTGATGGAACATAATTTAGATTTTTTTTTAATGGACAGAGTAAAAATAGGTAGAGAGAGAAGGTGATGTGAGATTTCCATATGGAATGAACAAGGTCAGAAAAGGTACGAAGAAGGCCTACGTTGGTAAAAGAGTGTGTGAGAAGAAAAGACATTCCATTTGAACAGAATTGAAGTCACATGAAGGGTAGAAAATAAAGCTGCGGAGGCAAGTTTGAGTCCAATTGTGAAGGAAAATGACTGCAGAATTTTGCACAAGGAGTGATGTGTTTGACAGAGCTCTTAGAAGATTATTTATCTGGAACTAGTGTTCAAAACTGTTACAGTGAATGCAATGTCAGGGAGGCCAGTTTCAACCCTAAGACAGAAGTCTTAACAAGCATAAGTATTATAATGAGCATAAGAAATCACCTAAGGGAGTACACAAGATAGATTCACAGGCCACCCCAAAAACCACTGCCCCCAAATATCTAGAGATTGGCCATATATAATTTATACATAGGGTCCCCAGGAGACAAAAGTTGAAATTTACAACAAGTAACGCAGGCAGACCCCATCCTGGGGCTATACTTGCAAGAATGCCCCACTAGTGTATAAAGAGCCTCTAAGATATGTGTGTGTGCAAGAGTGTGTGTGTGTGTGGAGAGAGAGCGAGAGAGAGAGAGAGAGAAAGGAAGAGAAAGGAGAGACTTGGCTCTTAAATAAAAAGGAACAGTGAAACAGTGCACTTGGCAATACATGTCTAATGCAAAAATAATACACATTTTGTCTCCATTTGGACTGCACTTCCAGCTAGAGGTTGTGCTCAATGAGAATCAAGTTGAAAATGTTTCTCTGGTCCCATTTAAAAGGTTATACATAATGAGATTTCTGCCGTTGTGGGAAAGTTAAGAATTCTGGGTGACTTGCCAAATCTTTTGATCGCAAAGAGTGCTTTTAATACACATTGCAAAGCATTTGTCTTTGCAAGGTGTAAAATGCCAAAGCTCAGCTTCCTTTTTTAGTGTCTGATACTCTCCATAGCATCATTTATCTTAAATTTCCCAGCAGTGTTAACTCTTTAAGCTCTGTAGCAACAGAGTTATATGTAGATACACATGACTTCAGTCTAGGGATACGTAGAGTTACCTCTGCAGTTTTACCCACACTTGGGATTCAGAGACTATGACAAGCAGCAGAACAATTTGTCTTTTCAATTAATCAGTACTGTTGTTGAGCACCATATATGTTCTCAGGCCCTTTCTAAGAAACATGGCACATGATCAGTGCTCTCAGAAGAGGAAGTAAAGCCTATGATATTCATAGAAGTTCCTAGAAGGGTATATAAGAGACTGGTAATATTGGATGCCTCTGATGAGATAAAGGGGAGGAAGGGAAAGACTCCTTTTCACTATTTAACCTTTAATACCATATGAGTTTATACAATTTGCTTCATTTACCTATTTAAAAATAAAATATAAAATGACAACTTAAAAGTTGATTTGAAGGTAAACATTTATCGGTAGGAAACAACTAAAATGCAACTTCAGAGTGTGTGCCAGATGTTGTTTAGTGTGACATAGATTCTAGGCCCTAGAAAAGGGAAGGAAGAAGAATGAAGACTGGAAATAATTAAGGGTGATTTATCCAGGTCTCTTGCACTGCTTGTAGATTATGAATGAGGTCATGCACACAGGGACCACAGTATTCAAAAAGTCCTGTCATTTTGGGTAGTCCACAAAGGTGACTCAAATATACTCACTAGCATCCTTCTGAAATCTCTGCCCTTGCCCTTTAGGGATGTGTTCTGCCCCACAGTTGGGGCAGAGCCTGGGCAGTGCTTTTTCTGTCCATCTTGCTCCTGCCTGGGGTGCATCTCCACCCACAACCCTGCAAGATGTTTAAGCTAAGCGAACACCTCTGCAATTCACTCATTGCTCATCCTGCAAGTGTCACAGCAAAGAATGGCCTTCTAGAACTCCAGCTCTGTGCTACACTTTGTCACCTGGAGTTTCTCAGATTTCACAAGCCCTATCATGAAAACAATTTGTTAACCACCTCTGTACTGTCAATTACAGCTGGTCTGTTCTCTGCATAAGGCTGGTCATGGAATGAATACCAGGCTGTTCTCATCACTGTTCACTCTTTCCTGACCATCTTTTCAGAAGCCCACATATAAATTACTGCCATGAATATGGTTTCATGCAAAAATATAACTGGATAGACCAGTTCACCATATATGCAAAACATACTTATATATAGACTATATATTTGACATCAGTGGGAGATCGTTATATGTTTTTATTTACAAATGAATCATGCAATGCTATATGCTTGTTAAATTTACATTCATTACATTTTATTCTGAAACTTTTATGATAGATGCAGTGCTGGAGAAACAGACCCCAATTCAATGGCACATCCCATGAAATTGATCAGATGGGCTTAATTCTTTCCAATTTATAAGGACATGAAAAGTAATCTCTTCAAAAATATTGAAAGGCAAGTTTCAAGAAAAGCATTTCACATATGCCAACTGTTAGCACAGCTTTTGTTTTGAATCCTCTTATTTAAAAAACCTTTTAATGGTGTACCGTGGCTCCCATAGTTTCCCACAGTTTCACAAACACTTGTTATATTTTGTCTTTTTGATAATAGCCATTCTAACAGGTGTGAGGAAATATTTCATTGTAGTTTTAATTTGCATTTCCCTGATGATTAGGGATGTTAAGCAATTGCATGTCTTCTTTTGGAAAATTTTTATTACAGTCCTTTTTACACTTTTCAATTAATTATTTTCATAGCAACTGAATTGTTTAAGTTCTTTATATATTTTAGATATTAACTCCTTTTCAGATGCATGGTTTGCAAATATGTTCTCCCAATCTGTGGGTTGTCTCTTCACTCTGGTGATTATTCCCTTTCCTATGCAGCAGCTTTTTAGTTTGCTATAATCCTCTTTGTCTATTTTTGCTTTTGTTGCCTGTACTTTGGGGTTCATACTCAAAAGCTCCCCCGTAAATTTTCCTTTAGTACTTTTACAGTTTTCAGGTCTTATATTTAAGTCTTTAATCTATCATGAGTTTTTTTTTTATATGGTGTGAGATAAGGGTGTAATTTCATTCTTCTGCATGTGGATATCATGTTTTCCCAATACCATGTATTGCAAAGGCTTGAAGACTCATGGTGGGAATATAAATTAGTACAGCTATTATGGAAAACATCACAGTAGTCACGTCTTATGCATAAATGATAAGTTCCAAGATCCTCTGCAGATGCCTAAAATCACAAGTAGTACCAAATCCTATATACGCAGTCAGGCACCTCCATTGCTACATTTCTGTCAACAATAAACTGTATATACAATACCAATTTCATAAGATTATAGTGGAACTAAAAATTCCTACCATCTACTAATTTTGTAGCTGCTCTAACATTGAAGCACAATGTATTACTCACATGTTTGTGTTGGTGCTGGTGTAAACAAACCTACTGCACTGCCAGTCATATAAAAGTCTAGCACATATGATTATGTACAGCACATAATACTTGATAATGATAATAAATTACTATGCTGCTAGTTTATAGAGTTACTATACTATAATTTTTATCATTATTTTAGAGTGTACTCCTGTTTATTTTTTGAAAGCTAACTCTAAAACAGCCTCAGCTATGTCCTTCAGAAGGCCTTAAGAGGAAGGCATTATTGTCATAGGAGATGACAGCTCCATGTATGTTATTGCCCCTGAAGACCTTTCAGTGGAAAAAGATGTAGAGGTGGAAGACAGTGATATTGAGGATCCTGACCCTGCAAGCAGAGCATAAAAGTTTTAAAAATGTGTAGCCTGACAACACCATAGAAAAGAAAAACCCATTTTCTAGGGAGAAATTCAAGCCAGCTGCAGAAATTTGCATAGATAAATAATAGTCACCAAGATAATAGGAAAAATGCCTCCAGGGCATGTCAGAGAACTTCACAGCAGCCCTTCTCATCACAGGCCTGGAGGGAAAAATGCTTTCATGAACTGCCCCCAGGGCCCCCTTGCTCTGTGCAGATCTGGGACATGGTGCCCTGCAGCTCAGTTGCTTTAGCTCCAGCCATGGCTAAAAGGGGCCAAGGTACAGCTCAGGCCATTGCTTCAGAGGGTGAAAGCCCTAAGCCTTGGCAGCTTCCATGTGGTGTTGGTCTTGTGGGTGCACAGAAGACAAGAATTGAGGTTTGGGAACCTCCACCTACATTTCAGAGGATGTATGGAAACACCTGGATGTCCAGACAGAAGTTTGCTGCAATGGTGGAGCCCTCATGGAGAACTGCTAGGGCAGTGTGAAACGGAAATTTGGGATTGGAGCCCCCACACAGAATGGTAGATCCACCGTTCTGCTTGCACTGTGCACCTGAAAAAGCTGCAAGCACTCAACACCAACCCGTGAAAAGCAGCTGGGAGTGGGGCTGTAGCCCACAAAGTCACAAGGGCAGAGCTGCTCAAGGCTATGGAAGCCCACCTCTTGTATCAGTGTGACCTGGTTATGAGACATGGAGTCAAAAGAGATCATTTTGGAACTTTAAGGTTTAATTACTGCCCTGTTGGGTTTTGGACTTATATGGGGCCGGTGGCCCCTTTGCTTTGGCCAATTTCTCCCATTTGGAGTAGGTGTATTTGCCCAATGCCTATACCCACATTTTATCTAGGAAGTGACTCACTTGCTTTTGATTTGCAGGATCATAGGCAAAGGGACTTGCTTTGTCTCAGATGAGACCTTGGACTTGGATTTTTGGGTGAATGCTGGAATGAGTTGAGACTTTTGGGGACTGGTGGAAGGATATAATTGTGTTTTGAAATGTGAGGACATTTGGGAGAGGCCAGGGAAGGAATGATATTGCTTGGCTGTCTCCCCATCTAAATC